TCTTTCTTTCTTTCTTTCTTTCTTTCTTTCTTTCTTTCTTTCTTTCTTTCTTTCTTTCTTTCTTTCTTTCTTTCTTTCTCTTTTTCTTTCTCTCACTCTTTCTCTTTTTCTTTCTTCCTTCCTCCCTCCCTCCCTCCCTCCTCTCTTCCTCTCTCTCTCTCTCCCCTCCCTCCCTCCTTCCCTTCCTTCCTTCTGTTGGTTGGTTTCTTTTATACAACAGGGTGAATCTAGGCCTAGATACTCCGTTCTAGCCAGAAGCAGAAATCCCACACTTGTTTTTGTGCGTTCTAAAATTACCCCTGAGGCAACCTCTAGCTGATCTGCTTTCTGGGCTGTTCAAGTTATGTCCCATGCAATAACCACTGTTTTTGTTAGTGCTCTGGTTACAAAGTTGAATATGTTTTTTTCTCCATTTCCCTCTTATTTTAACATGCAATTTTATGGTATGCAGTGTTTCTGAGGAAAGAGTATATTGTGGTATAGCAGTTATAATCTGTCCAATTTAAGGACTTATGCTATGGTTAGCATATATTTTAGGCAAAAGCAAAGAATACATAAAGAGATATTTTTAATAACATTTTAAAAAATGGAATGAAATAGTCTGATCTTTGAGGGTACTTTTTATTTTGTATAAGTCACTGTATTTCCCTTCCCATAGTTCCCAGCACATAGATCCTCAGTAACTTTTGTTGATTTCCTATAATAGATTTGTTGACAATTCAGGAATATATTGTCATTTTCATTATTATGATTATTACTGGCAATTATATATTGATTATCTATTGTAAGTTAGGCACTCTGCCAGGCACTTTATACGGTATCTCATTTAGTTGTCACTATGATGTATTTGTATTTTAGTCCTTTATAGACAGGGAAATGGATTCAGGGAAGTTAAAAAACTGGCTCAAGATCCCATGGCTGGTAACTGGTATGATCCAAACCCAGGTCTGTCTGATTTCAAAGCCCAAGTTCCTCGTGTTGCTTTGTCCTCTGTTTCATGAAATATAATGAAGCTTAGCATTTTTTCCCTCTAACAAGAGATATCTTCATTTTTCTTTCATTCTCTTAAAGAAGGGAATAAAAAGAAAATTGTTTTAGGACAGGACATTCCAACGTGGACAGAGTTGGTGGAGTAAGCGTGCATCTTGAGTTTTCTGAATTTACTCACAGATCAGATTGGAGTCCGGGGTGATTGCACATGGCTGTATTATACCTAAGGGCCAGGAATAGAGGGTGTGCAATAAACTGAAACTATGGCACAATCCCATGTTTCCTTTTAAAATAACCGTAACAGTTTCTTCCAATAGAAATGTCTATACTAGTCAAGCACACACTAGTTCTTTGAGTCATGACAAGAATTGTGTTTCACTTGGAGACTCCAGAGCTATGCAAGGGCTTCTCTTAGAAAGGGTCTAAACTAGACGAAAAACTGAGTTTGGATCTGAAATCGTTTTCTTACTAATGTTGCAGTATGGGCTGAGGAAGCACGTTCCCTGGAAAAGGGAGGATCAAATCAGAATGACCTCACAATGGTGCCTTTTCTAGTTTCCCACACGTTGCCCCTCCCCAACCAGGAAGCCAGATTTTCGTGTGACTTGGGCTTTGGGTTTGAGCCTGGGAAGGCCAAGAGCAGGAGCCTGATGGTGGAGGAAGTGAAGGAACGTGAGTTCAGATTGTCTGCACCAGGGAAAAGAAGCTTGGCTGCACCGGCAGGGCCCAAAGTTCATCTGAACCGCCTTCCCTCTCAGTCAGGGTTTAACGTCAGGTCGTTGGTGTCTATCGCTGACAATAAGGAATTATTTCTATTAAGCAGTTTGTGTTTGTCCAAGAGCTTTCCATCATTAATCATGTAACTCATGTTCCCCGTGAGACTTTCGTAAAGTAAAATAGGAAAGAAAGAACACGATTCTTATTTTACAGATAGAAAAGCTGAAACATTTTTGTCCGCCCCTATTACACACTGAAAGAGTTAAAGCCGTGCATTAGAATGTGGGAGAACCGGGTCAGGACTTTGATGAGCTATTGTTCCACCACAGAAGTGGGGTTTCTGTTTTTACACAAAACGGACTTGCATATTTTTCATTTTGAAAGCAACATGATTGATACTGAGGTGGACTGAAGAAAAAAACAGACTTTACTTCCTTATATAGTCTGCAGATCTTACTGAGTTCCCACAAAAATTTTGGAATCCAAATAGGCATTTAAGTTGAAGTAGTAAAGATTGTTAGGCCTTGCTCATCTTGATTTTTCTAATAAGAAAGAGAATATAAGCAAACACATCCAGAGCGGTTGTGAATAATCAATAGCAAGCTATAAAGGGACTTGGAGAGGATGGCATGGGCATTTTGCTGCCTGGAATTAATCTGGTGGGCTTCCTGGAGAGGGTGTGTTTTGAATTTCAATTAAAAAAAAAAAGATTTCAAACGCGGTATGTCCTTCAGCCCAGATGCTTTGAAATTTTTTTCCTGTTCCTATGGAGTGTAAACACCACACACACACAAATTGTCAAGTATCACAAGAGGGAGGAATTGACTGAGGGGTCCCTCAAGGGCACATTTCAGAGACAAGGAAAGGAAATGAAGAAGTTTTCTGACAGTGAGATCTTTCAGATCTTTTAACAATGAGGTAGTTCAAGGGGCAGATGGGCTAGGGTGGGAGGGGAAGGTGTCAGTGGAAGCCATTAAACCAAACTAGATAAGGCTTGGAAAGATTACTTCCGGAATCAGCGTGCCCTCTGGTGGGGGTGGGAAATATAGTTAGGGCTAGGACTAACTTCCTTCCTTTGGCACATGACAGACCTTGGATTCAAATCCATCTGCAGGCAATGTGACTAAAAGTCTGAGGTGCCTCCTTCTTAAAACCGTGTGAACGAGACCTTCTTTATTCGTTGCTGAGTGAAATAAAAGGAAGCAAAAATTGCTTACGCAGCACCAGAGGCAAATTTGGGTTATATTGGGTCTGAAGCTTAAGCAGTATTGGAGCCCTTCTTTAAGAAAAAGAATACACAGCTAGTTAGGTTTATCAAATTAGGTAATATTTATTTAGAATGAAAATGAAACCACAACCAATCACTAAAAAAATAACCAACAAATGGACAAACATCACAAATCCCAGGAAAACAACGTGAAGTTCAATTTGTTAACTACCGAAAATACTTCTGTTACGTGTGTGCGCGCACATGTGTATATAGACACACATACAGATAAACAGACACTGTATATTCTGATTGCCTCTTCCCATGACAAAGAAATTGTAATATGTTGTAAAGAGGATGAGAACATATTTCAACTTTCCTCTAGTATGAATCATCAAAATTTGTTTCTTATTATTGACAGTTTAGGCAAATTTTTTTTCAGCATCACAACTTGTTGCTTGCCATGTATGCAAAAATTTACAGTTGTTAAATTTGGAAAAACTTCTATCAAGGTTTTAATGAAAGAGCTGGAAGATGTAGACAAGTGTTCCATGGCTAGCTTCTGACTCTGTACATTTCAAATCTTATTTCTCCTCTACTATCCTCTTCATTTTGGGACTGGGCATTGTAGGACGTGTTCACATCCCAGCATGATATACCTTGGGCCCCCAGATCCCCAGGTGAACAGACAATGATAGGAGTGTTTCTGGAATCCATTGCTATAGTCAATGGCTAGCAATCAACCATACACAGAAGTGATGTGAACCACATAATACATCCCACTCCACTCGAGCTAAAAGTATCTTCAACTCAACTCCAAAGCCAACACACACCAAGGGAACTGGGACAGAGGGCAAGTCAAGCAGTGTTAACTAATTGGTGTTCAATAGCTTCGTCTTGTCAGCTTTACAGACACATGTAACCACGCCCAACATGGATAGAGCCCCTGCAGGGACTTGGAAGGGGCTCATGCCATTAGCTTCGTGGTCAGTTGCCTC